TCCGGGGGTATGTGGGACTCCCTCCCCTAGAAAATGGGGGAGGTATACCCACTAAAACCCCTGGGGATGTCCAACACGTGCGCCATAATTCGAGGGCCCCCCGGTACACTTTCTAGTATTCTTCAGGGGGCCCTCAGCGCCTTCGCGCTTGCGCGCTTCTTCCCGCGCCGGCCTAGTCGGCCGGCGCTTTGTATTCCTAGTTGGCTACGAGGAGGGGACACCTTCCTCCTCGCAGCCCCTCCCTCCGAGTCGGGAGGTTGGGATGGGCCGGGAGCGGGATTATCCGCCCGCTCCCGACCCCCTCCCCTGTCCCTAACCCTCGGGGGGAGGTTAGGTCTGCCACAGAGTGCGGCTGACCGTTACCACCCCCGAGGGGGGAGAGTCCGCCAGGGGGCCGCCTCTGGTACTGGGCGGCCCGGGCAGGCGCACTGATCGCGCCCGCCCACGTGTCCGGGCTTAGGCCGGGACACGAATTAGGGCCTTTGCCGGCCCTCCTCGTTGCCGGACGGTGCCGCCCCCGAGAGTGGGGGAGTGGTTACCCCTCAGAACCTCCCGGAGGCGAACACCGCCCGGCTTACCCTCATCTGATCCCGCCAGCTCCCCCCAAGTGGTACAGGGGGAGCTGGTGGGCCCTCAAACGACGCCTGCCCCTCCTCGGCCTCAGTACCCGGGGAGGGGGGCTTCCTCCTCCTCCTCATCACTCCCCCGCCGATCCGACGGGGCAGGGGAAGAGGGGGGTGGTGCGACCCCCACCTCTCCCCTCCTCACGCGCTCGGCGGCCTCCTTCTGCGACATGACGTCGCGACAGAAGGAGGCCACCGCCTCCCATGCTTCCCGGCTCTCGAGCATCTTTGGTACGATGCTCGGGAGCCGGAGATCCTAGCCGACTACTGTGGTGAGGACTCCGCGTTCCTTAGCCCACGCTGGGCATTCCTGCAGCGTGTGCTCCGCGGAGTCCTCACCAGCCGCGCAGTGGTGGCACTGTGCCGTGCGCTCCTTGCCTATTCGACACAGGTATCGACCGAAGCAGCCGTGCCCGGTCAACACCTGTGTCATGTGGTATGACAGCCCGCCATGTGCCCTGCCCACCCATTGCGGCAGGCAGGGACGGATGGCCGTGATGGTCTGGATTCCCGGCGTGTTCGGGGCCCCCAGCGATCTATGCCATTTGCCGGAGGGCCGTACGCCGGGCCGAGTCGCGTATCCTCTGCACGTCCCTGGCCGTGACCAGATGGTCGCCCTCTCGCCGACGGAGCTCCGCGACCCTGTTGTACGTTTCAGCGTACAACCGCGCCAGGAGCTCCACCGGTATCATGCCGGCCAGGGCCGTGACGGCTGCATGCGACATCGTCCTGTACGCCTTGACTAGGCGGGTGGCCATTAGTCGCTGCGCACCGTGCAAAATTTGCACGATGCGCCGCTTGGCCCCCGCCCTTTCCGCCCAAACTGGCGCCCCGTATAGGGCGATGGACGTGACGGTGTTCGCATACAGCCTGCGAACTCGGTTGTCCGGACCACCGATGTTGGGGAGGAGGCTGCACAATGCAGCCGCGACTCTCCCCAACTTGGGACTCAGCCTCTCAAAATGAGAGGTGAAGTCCCACCGGCCATCCAGGTGGAGCCCCAGGTACTTGATGCCTGGGGTCACCTCCACGCGGGCTGACTCTATCATGATGCTGGACCTCGGGGGGACCCCCGCAGACCGACCGTACACGAACATACACTCGGTCTTTTGGGGGGCCACCCGTAGGCCCAGCCGCCGTATGGAGCGCACGGCACACGCTACGGCTACATTGGCTGTAGCCGTAGCCTCCTCCCAGTCGGTGCCTCCCGCCAGCACCAGAGTGTCGTCTGCGTAGCAGATCATGGTGCAGGCGGGAGGGAGGACCGTTCGCAAAACGCGATCTTACGCGAGGTTCCAAAGTAGGGGTCCGAGTACCGACCCCTGTGGAACCCCGCAGTACATGGCCCGTCCGCATTGGAGTCCAGCAGCGTTGCTGAACTCCAGTTTCCTCTCTCGGAAATAGTCCCGTATGATATGGACCAGGTAGGGCGGGAAGCGGTGAAAGCGCATCGCCGCCTCTACCTGGTCCCA